GTTATTTGCCATTCCTGATTTCATCCAAGGACGTCAAACACTGAGAATGTAAATGACGTCTGGATTGAAGTCAGAGAGGAGAATTCACTGGACTGAGGATGACAAACAAGCAAAAACAACAACAACAGTATAATCTGTCCCCAAGCACAGCATCCAAAATCAGACAGGAAAGGATTAGGTTTTACAGTTGACTTACCTGCCCAGAAATGCAGCCCCTAGCTGAATAGAAAGAAGAAACCAGGCTATTTACTCCTAAATATTTTTTAAAGACCAGATTTTCATCCTATAAAATATGGCAAGAAAAGATAACAAGTTGATTTTCCACTCTGGTAACTGAATTTGGAAAGAGAGAAACATTTATTTTTATCGGTTTCTCATTTGCTCATGATGGTGCTTTTGAAGCTGGTGGTAGGAGCTTGTAGATACCCAGTCACGAGGCACTGCACGTCCCCGGTCGCCATGAAATACCATGTGAAGATTGCAGTTATTCTGCTCTGCAGAATTCATATCACCTTGCCTCTAGAGAGCCCTAGGCAGCACTCAAATTACATTTAAACACCAAATTAAAATTTTAACTATAAAAAATAAGGGGATAAACAAGAGAGAATCATATTATAATATTACATTGGTAAAAATATGTCTAGGAGAAGGAAGTGCATTTTCACGTTGCCATGATGCCCGATGTCATGTCCTTTCCATGAAGCCACAGGAAGCCTAAGGGACATGCAGCATCCATCTTCATCAGTGCCCTGGTCTCTCACGAACATTAATTAAGGACCCATGGATACCAGCCACTCTCCAAGTCAAGTCACAGGAGAGTAAATTCCTGTGCAAGTTTTTCTAATGGTGACTAATGCAGGCCTACAATTTCCTATTATCCAAAAGACATTTTACATGAGAATAGAAAAAGGCATCTGGCCAAGTTGAGTAGAGGCCAACCACGGATTTCACTTTTCATCCAGATGTTCTGGTTCCTGGGGCCGATGTCTTGTTGGGCAGTTGTGCAGTTGTGCCTGACAGGGGTTCCCTCTTCCATCTCAAGATCCTTCCCTTCTCTCCTTCCTCCAGCCCCTCTCTCCTTCCCAAAAGGCAGAGGCCGCAGAACTATTTCAAGCTATTGAGGTTTTTCAAGCAGCATTAGAAAAGATTGAAGGACACATTTAAAAGAGAATTTGGTCTCAGGACTGATTTATGTAAAATAATAAATGGTGCCACTTGGCTGTTTATAGAGTTAGAGATAAAATTAGATTCTAGATAATCCTTTCTTGTGCACATGGGGTAGCTCTGATGGATTACTGCCTTCATATGACTTAGAATAACAGTGGCTCATGGAAATTTACAAGGGCTTCCTTGAGAACACATTTCACAGCCACATCCAATAATTCCGAAGGGTATCTTGGGTCCCCCAAAATGACTCAGATTTAATTTGGGAACCATACTTGAAAAGAGTAAGCTGATGAAAAGTATTAGGTACGATTTTAAAAAGTTACTTCTCTCTCCACAGCTAAGCAGAAAACATTGCTACCCAATTTCTCCCCAGCCTCCCCTTCACTGACACATTTGCAGCCTGACCACTCTTAGGAAAATAAGCAAAAGGGGAGTAAGGAATGATTCTGGGGACTGGAGAGAGGAACATTTCATCAGCTGGCCAAGAAAAAAGGGGTTTGGATTTTAGGGATTTAGTTCCCTTGACCTTGACAGTTTTTGTAAGAGGTTGGAAATCAGACAGACCTGAGTGTCGACATCTACAAAGGCCTTTAGTGTCCTCTTGACGTGGTCATCAGTTGCCCTCTGGCTACAGCCAGCTGTGTTGAATCCACTCAGGTATGTTAAACATACTCGTTGGGTAACTACTATTCCCATGGCACTTTCCTGGTGCTGGAGGTAAAAATGGAGATGGACCCAGTCTATGCTCAAAATCAGCCCATAAAGGAGGGTGCACACCGCTCTTATGGGGGGGAAGGTGGAGAGGATGCATCAGTTTGAAGCTAAACTGAGACCCGAAAGAGGGTAAGCTTGTCAGACAAAATTCTTGGGGTAGAGGTAGTGGGGTGGGGTGCAGAAGTAGTATGACTAGAAGGCGAATTTAGGCGAAAAGTAGCAAGATATAGATGGCTGCAGTACAAACTGCCAGAGGGAGCAGCATGATCAATGAGACTGAGGAGGCAAGGAGGAGCCAGTTGATAAAAGCCCAGTCAGCCAGCCTGAGAGGGAGCTTGGGCTTCACGGGAACAATGGCAGGCGACTATCTGCTGAGCACGTGAGAACGAGCCCCTCTGGAATGCAGAGTTTGGTGCACACGTGAAGACCCTTCCAGTCCCTTCCAATCACCCGGGTAACCTAGACCAGGATGGGAGATGAATGGAGAGGCTCCAGAGACATCTAAAAGGCACAGTCCACAGAACTGCTGACTCTGACAGGACAAACAGATGGAAGGAGATGGTGAGTGAAGACGAAGCCCGGGTTTTGGCCCGACTGGGGGACGGGGCGGGGGGGGGGGGGATTTACTGAGGCGGGCACACAGGCACACAGGAGAGGCGGGTGTTACGGACAGATCCTGAGGCTGGTTTTGAGAAATGGGGTTTGCAGGTGTTCACAGGGCAGAGCCAGGTAAGGAGGAGCCTACTGCAACTGCAAGAGGCCCCTGCCCACCCCCAGCCCTGGGAGAGGAGCCTAAACCATCAGATAAACAGCTCAGTTCTTTTTTAAAATTTTTAAGATTTTCTGTATTTATTCATGAGAGACACAGACACAGGCAGAGGGAGAAGCAGGCTCCATGCAGGGAGCCCGATGTGGGACTCGATTCTGGGACCCCAGGGTCACGCCCTGAGCTGAACGCAGACTCTCCACCACTGAGCCCCCCAGGTGCCCCTAAAGTGAAATTTTAAATGTGGAGTTAGTGTTACTGATATATTTTTTTTATGCCATTGGATCCAAAACTTTTTTTTGACTATCAAGATGTGTGTGTAGTTGGAGGCGCAGGTGATTATCTGCCTTCGTACGCTCTGTGTACAATTTTTACTATGACTCTTACCCCAGAGTATTTATTTATGTTCTATTTCTTTGTGTGTGTGTATTAAATCTTCAACATCTGACGAGTGTATGACACCTGAAACATCTCAGTTTCCACTAACCACATCCATGAAGGACAGCCCGACGCCAGACCACCCGGACTTTCACGTCGGAGAGCTAGTTACAGCGATGACAGCCACCATGTAAGGGACGGGGCTGAGTACTTCCTGCACCGGGTCGCATGGCAGGTAAGTGCACGATTCCTAGGCTTCAGTCCTGGCACCAGCACCTGCTACATGAGGCCAGTTCCTTTTTTTTTTTTTTTCTGAAGTGTTATTTTTTTTATTTCTTTTTTTATAAATTTATTTTTTATTGGTGTTCAATTTGCCAACATACAGAATAACACCCAGTGCTCATCCCATGAAGTGCCCACCTCAGTGCCCATCACCCAGTCACCCCCACCCCCCGCCCTCCTCCCCTTCCACCACCCCTAGTTTGTTTCCCAGAGTTAGGAGTCTTTCATGTTCTGTCTCCCTTTCTGATACTTCCCACTCATTTTCTCTCCTTTCCCCTTTATTCCCTTTCACTATTTTTTATATTCCCCAAATGAATGAGACCATATAATGTTTGTCCTTCTCCGATTGACTTATTTCACTCAGCATAATACATGAGGCCAGTTCCTTAACAACTCTTGCCTCAGCTTTTTTTTTTTAAGATTTTACTTATTTATTCATGAGAGACACAGAGAGAGAGAGAGAGAGAGAGAGAGAGAGAGGCAGAGACACAGGAGGAGGGAGAAGCAGGCCCCATGCAGGGAGCCTGACGCAGGACTCGATCCCAGAACCCCAGGATCACACCCTGGGCCAAAGGCAGGCGCTAAACCACTGAACCACCCAGGGATCCCCCTTGCCTCGGTTTCTGGTTGTGAAATGGAAATCATAATGCTAAGCTCCAGATACTTGTGTCCCCCCAAAATTCTTATGTTGAAACCTAACCCCTAAGGGAACAATATTAGGAGGTGAGGCCTTGGAGAGTGACTGGGTCTTGAAGGTGGAGTCCTCAGGAGGGGGATGCGTAGCCTCACAAAAGAGGCTCCAGAGAGCTCCCCTGATCCTTTCCAGCCTGTGAGGACACAGCGAGAAGCCTGTTTGCAATGTAAGAAGAGGGGTTTCTCCAGAACACAGCCCGGCTGGTGCCTTGATCTTGAACTTCCCCGCCTCTGGAACTGGGAAGCAATCTTCTGCTGTTCACAAGCATCCCGTTGATGGTATTTCATCACAGCAGCCCAAGCGGACTGAGACAGAGACTGGCATCCGCCACTAGGGGCTGTTGAGAGAAATAAATTGGGAATTACATGTAAAGAGGTAAAGTGGTTGAACAGAGTCGGCCATGGTATGCGGTCTGTGATGTTGCCAGTACTCCTATCCCAAATCACACAGCTTCCAAGGAGGTTGATGTGCAAAAGTCAGAGAACTGTCTGTTGGATTTCCCTTTTTTTTTTAAGATTTAATTTATTCATGGGAGACACAGAGAGGGAGGCAGAGACACAGGCAGAGGGAGAAGCAGGCTCGTGTGGGGACCCCGATGTGAGATTCAATCCCAGGACCCCGGCATCACGCCCTGAGCCAAACACAGACGCTCAACCCCGGAGTCACCGAGGTGCCCCTGTCCACTGGATTTCCAATGGGAAGTGCCTGGTGACCTACCAAGGGCAACTGATTTGAATGGTGGTAAAAACCAAAACCCGCCCGCTCAGTGAGAGTGTGGGCGCAGGGAGGAAGTGAGGATCTCCAATTTCATTTGATGCCTGTGGTTCCTTTAAACCTCAGATCAGAAGCGCTCTCTGGGCACCTGCCTTATCTGCACACTTTGCGGCACACGAATTGAGCATCTGCAACTCACCCAAGCACCCAGAGCAATAACATTCCACAACACCTGGTGAACGCCACCAGAGAAGCCATGAGCCAGGAGAGGGCCAGGAGAGCGTAGAGGACAAACAACGGGGACTTCAGGCGTGTACACCTGCAGATAAGAAGATGAGGAAGTTAGAGGCGAGGAAAATGAAAGAGAAGGAGGAAGGAGAAGTGTGGCTCCAAAGCTGAGTCCCAGCTCTCTGGTCTCTCGGTGGGCTCGGCCTCTTATGCACGGTGCATCTCAGGAAAGACTTAACACGCTGAGAAATGAATACCTTTTTATTTGTAAATAATTTTGCTTTTACATAAAACCACAAGAATAGTACAGAATTCCCAATATCCTTCCCCCCACCTGGCAAGTTACTAACCTTTTGCAGCATCCACTTTATCAGTCTCTGTCCATCAGAGCCATCTGAGGGTAAAGCGTATACACCGTATCCCTCTATCCCTGAACACCCCCATGCACATTTTCTAAGAGAAGGGACATTCTCCAGTATAATGACAATACAGTTATTACATTCAGGGAATTCCACATTAATAACATACTCTAATCTTCAGTTAGAAGGAGAAGTGAAAGACGCGGTGGAAATCAGGATGAGGAATGCGCTGTCGCTCCATATTCCGGTTTCACCAACTGTCTCAGCAATGTTTTTACAAGCAACTTTTTCCTGGCCCCGTATCCAATCCAATATCATGCCTTGCATCTAATGATGATATTGGACTGGATACCGGGTTATCCAGAAATAACAAACTTTCTCCTTATGAACCAGAACATGGACTTCAGCACTAAATACGCACCGGCCAGGTTCAAAGATGCTGGGAATGTAATTTAAATTAAGGTATCTTAGGAAGTAGTAGGGATGACCATGAGCTGCCATCTTACACCTGCGAGAATGGCTGGACTCAAAAACGTAAGAAACAACAAGTGGGAAGACTGGGTGGCTCAGTGGTTGAACATCTGCCTTTGGTTCAAGTCATGATCCTGGGGTTCTGGGATCAAGTCCTATATCAGGCTCCCCAAAGGGAGCCTGCTTCTCCCTCTGCCTATGTCTCTGCTTTTCTCTATATATGTCTCTCACGATTAAATAAATGAAATCTTAAAAAAAAAAAAAAAAAGAGGGCAGCCCAGGTAGCTCAATGGTTTAGCGCCACCTTCAGCCCAGGGCATAATCCTGGGGACCTGGGATTGAGTCCCACATTGGGCTCCCAGCATGGAGCCTGCTTCTCCCTCTGCCTGTGTCTCTGCCTCTCTCTCTCCTTGTGTGTCTCTCATGAATACATAAACAAAATTTAAAAATAAAGAAATTTAGTTAAAGAAAAAGAAACAGAAACATTAAGTGTGGGCGAGGATGTGGAGAAAAAGGAACCCTCGTGCACTGTTGCTGGGAATGCAAACTGGTGCAGTCACTGTGGTAAACAGTACGGAGGGTCCTCAAAAAAAAAAAAAATAAAGCTAGAAATACCATATGATCCAGTATTTCCAGTAATGGGTGTTTACCTAAAGAAAACAAAAACACTAATTTGGAAAGATATATGCACCCCTGTGTTTATCACAACATTATTTCCAATAGCCAAGGTATGGAAGCAGCCCAAATGTCCATTGGTAGATGAAAGAATAAAGAAGACATGGTATATATAATATATATGTGAACTCTACTCAGCCATAAAAAAGAATGAAATCTTGCCATTTGCAATGACGTAGATGAATCTAGAAGGCATAATGCTGAGTGAAATAAGTCAGGCAAAGACTGCTACCATATGATTTCATTCATATGTCAAACTTAAGAAACAAACGAAGAAAAATAACAAACAACAACAACAAAAACCAGACTCTTAAATAGAGAATGCAAATGAGTGATTGCCTAGGGGAGGGGGTGTGAAATAGGGAAAGAAGATTAAGAAGTACAAATTTTCGGTTACAAAACAAGTAACAGAGATGAAAAGCACAGCATAGGGAATATAGTCAGTAAGACTGTAAACATGTTCGGTGGCAGACGGTGCTGCACGTACCAAGGTGAGCACTGAGTCATGTATAGAATTCTTGAATGGTTATGTTGTATGCCTGAAACTAAATAACTGTATGTTCATTATAATTCAATTTAAAATAAAAAGAAAGAGTCTGGAGTAAAAGAAGAAGAAGAAGAAGAAGAATGTTAAGGAAGGGCTGAAAAGGGACGCCTGCGTGGCTCAGTGGCTGAGTGTCTGCCTTTGGCTCAGGGCGTGATCCTGGGGTCCCGGGATCAAGTCCCACATTGGGCTCCCTGCATGAAGCCTGCTTCTCCCTCTGCCTGTGTCTCTGCCTCTCTCTCTCTCTCTGTCTCTCATGAATAAATAAATAAAAATCTTAAAAAAAAAAAAAAGGAAGGGCTGAGAAGGTGAAAAGAGGCACCAAAGGTATAAGTGAGCCTCTAGTGCTTTTAATCTGTTGCAAGCACAGAAGACGGTGCATGTCCATCCTTCGGAAGGTGCCTTAGATAACTCCTCTCTTCAGGTAGATGCTATTCCCTGATGTCATCGAGTGATCTCTGTTCAGGTGCCACAGAGAGATTAGGGAAACAGAGCCGAGATGATAGTCTAAGGGAGATGACAAACTACAGATCGATCATTTCAACACAAAGTGGTAAGTGACATGGATGCCAAGACCTCTATGCACGCCTGCAGAATTGTTGTGTGCTGCTGATTTATTTTATTTTATTCTAGATACTCAGAAACCTGAAAGCTCTTTGCATGAGTCTCAAGGTGTCAGTTCTATTAACTGTTTTACCCCATAGAACACTCACTTCTCCTTGTAGACTTGCAAGAAGATTCTCTCCATCACCTACCCAGCTGTGTGTCCTAATAACCCTATAAGAGCCCAAATTTCTCTCTTCTTTAGGCCTTTTTTGGTGAAATCTCCCTCTTTGTATCAATTCCATTTGGATCAGGTTCTTTGAGTTTCAAAAATCTAGACCTATTCCACCTAGCTCAAATAGAGAGGGCAAATAGCGGTGCAGCCCCCTCAACAGCAGTGGAATGCCAGAGAACATCCTAGGACAGCTGCATCATGGAACTGGATGGCTCCAAAGAGCAATATGAACTATAGGAGTCGAGGGTGGGTGTCCAAAAGCACAGACTGGTGGCCAGAGCAGGGTCATACTAGGGTGCAAACTGCAGTTTCATTGTTTAAATGATTTTCCTTTATCTCTTGAGAAACCAGAAAATCATTAGTAATGCTTTGCTTTTAGAGAAAAACATTATTAAAGAAATAGATCAGCCCATGTCCTATATTTTTTAGATTGCACACGAGTAACTGAATATGTCGGAATGTATCTCATGGTGGAATTTACCTCTGCCTTCTTTGAAGGGTGTGCTCTCTTGGTGAATCATCAGGACGAAAGAAGCTGACTTCTGATGCACCTACTGGCCAGGTCCACTCACCTGAAACCAGTGTTACCCTGCAGCAAGGTGCCAGGGAAAAATAAATTAAAAATATAAAATATCAACACTCTGCATGTTAAATAGCGTCCATATGAATAATATAATAGGGTATCATTTACCCTAGCATTATTTGTTAGATGTTTTACAGTAATTTTTCAGAAAACTAAAGTTTGTAGTATGAAAACAAAACTTAACAAATAACTAGCATTAGGGGAGGATTAACCTTGAAAGGGCATGAGAAAAACTTGTCGTGGGAAAGAAAATGTTACATCTTGACTGTGGTCCTGGCTACATGACTACATATATTTGTCAAAAGTCATAGCACTAAATACTTTTACAGAGTGAATTTTACGATACACAAGTTAAACCTCAAGAAACCTGACTCTTAAAAAGGTGGGGGGTGGGGAATAGGACAGTATGAAATTGCGAAGAAGGTGAAAAGACAACCTACACAATGAGGGGAAATATTTTGAAATCCTGTATCTGATAAGAGTCAAGCATCGAGAATATATAAAGAATTTTTGCAACTACAAAAAGACAACTAAGTTTAAAAATGGGGGAAAAAAAGGAAAATAAATAAATAAATAAATAAATAAATAAATAAATAAATAAATGGGGGAAAACTCGTAGTCCCTAAAAAAATTAAACACAGAATGACCACATGACCCAGCAATTCCACTCCTAGGTATGCACGTGAAAGAATTGAAAACAGGGGCTTAAACAAAACTTTGTACGTGAAGAGGAGTGACAAATACCAGCTTCTAGTTATGGAATGAATAAGTCACGGGAATAAAAGGTGCAGCATAGAGAATATGGTCAATGGTATTGTCACAGCTTTGCAAGGCGGCACTATGGTGAGCATATGGAGAGAGCATACAGCATTGTCGACTCACTATGGTGTGTGCTCAACACATGTGACACTGTCAACTAGACTCAAACAAATAAATAAAATATGTTTTTAAATAAAGTAAATAATTCACACATGAATTTTTATATCAGCACTATTCACAGCAGCCCACAGGTGGAAACAGCCCAAATACCCAGCGATAGGGGAATAGACACACAAAGTGTGTTGTATCCAAACAATGGAGTAATATCAGCCGTAAAAAGGCATGATGTCCTGACACATGCTCCAACATGAATGAACCTCCAAAAGATGCTGAGTAAAAAAATCCAGGCACAAAAGTCACATATTATTTGATTCCATTTGTATGAAATGTTCAGAATTTTATTAATTTTTAAGATTATTTATTTGAGAGAGAGAGAGAGAGAGAGATGGAGCATGAGAAGGAGGGGCAGAGGCAGAGGAAGAGAGAATTTCAAGCAGACTCCACGCTGAGCATGGGGGCCAATGTAGGACTCGATCTCACGACCCTGAGATCAAGACTTGAGCCGAAGCCCAGAGTCAACCCTTAACCAGCTCTGCCACCCAGGGGCCCTTCCAGACTTTTAAATAACCATAAAGACAGAATACAATTGTGGTTGCCAAGCCTGGAGGGAATGAAAAATGAAGAGTGACTATTTGATGGGCATGGGGTTTCTTCTGGGGATGATGACAATGTTTTGGAACTAAGTGGCATGGTGGTTGCACAGCACTGTGAATGTACTATCACTGAATTACTCACTTTAACATGGTTAATCTTGTTATGTGAATTTCCACCTCAAAAGTAAAAAAAAAAATTTAAGGAAAAT